GGAACCCCATATAGGATTTCCAAGGAGCAGCTATTGGGATTGAACTGCTGACCTTGTGATTTGCAGTCCAGTGCTGATCCTACAGCGCCATACCAGGACTCCATGGCCTTAATTGTGTTGAAAAATGGGGACCATGCTTCTCCACAGTCCCTGCTGCCCTCAGATGGCCTTGTCCCCTCTATTAACTCAGTGCAAGCTCTCATGCTCTTCTAGGGTGGCAGGCATCCTGTCCTTGGGAAAGAGCCTGCCACTGTCCTGTGACAAGAAACAGTGCAATTCAGACACAGGCCCCGTAAGCAGCTCATCAACACTGAACGACATTTAGCTCTGGTTTTTTTGTAGAATGGAGGCAAGGACCTCAGCTCCCCCAAACCATCATGCTGCTCAGGAAGGGTGAGGAGAGCAGGTGCCCCACGTCAGGTGAGCATTCAGATCGCTGCTCCCTTGCTAACTTGCTGTGTGACCCACTCGTAAACTGGGACGTCTGTTTCTGAACTTGCTGGGAAGAAGAAAGTATGCAGAGGGCTTAGTAGAGTCAGGGCCCTTTTCTCCCTGTGAGGTGGGAGTTGGCATTAGACAGTGCACTCTCCCTCCATGCTCGCTCCCAGACTCCTGCTCGGGAACCCTATCCTGGCATCCACATCCCCTTGTGGGAAAAACCCCTGCAGAGTTGGGCCTACAACTTTCCTCACTGCAGCCCCTAACCCAAACAAAATTAGCCCACTGCCTGTTGTTCTGACTCATAGCACCCCTGTAAGACAGAATGGAGCTGAACTACAGCGTTTCCAGACAACCACATCTCTCTCCATCGAAGCGTTGGGTGGTTCAAACCACCTTTCAGTTAGCAACTGAGTACTTAATCACTGCCCCACCAGAGCCTCTCTATTGTAGCTCTAGGATGAGGAATTCCCCAGGGACAACGTGGCCCAGGATCCAACGGGTGTGGCTTGGGCTACACTGAGTCACTGGGATAAACGGAGTGGAGATGGAGTGGGGGCGCCTGGTCTTAGCTGGCTTCCACACCCCCTAGCAGGCCTCACAGTTTTTCCCTCCCCCTCCCCTGAGCCATGTGTCCTGTTTCATCTAAGTGACATCGTTAGGACAACAGTTGAATCTCATGAGCTACCACTGTGTGTTTGACAGTCCAGTCCGCCCCTTTCCAGTTGTCTGGCAGTACAGACTGGTCAGGCAGGCAGAGCCGGCTGTCCGGCTGTCCGCTGTTCTGTCCTTGTGAACCTCTTGCTCTTTCACACAATGGGGCTGGGCCCCTGAAGCAGCCATGGTGGGAAATGCTCTCTCTGGTCAGACCTGAAGGAATCTAACTATTAAGGCTGTCCATTGTCTGAAAGGGGTCAGGAAGACCCCCCCAAGCCCTCAGGCAACGCGAGGAAGCCTGGAGGCCCAGCAGTTTCCAGTGAGAGCAGGCAACCTGCAGACTTCCAGATGGCAGCCACTGGAGACACAGATGGCTCTCAACTCTGATGAACTGTGGCCCATTGGCTGCCACCCAAGGAGCAGTACCACAGACAGCCTGGGACTTACCCTGCCAGGCCGAGTCTGGTCATTTTGTTTATGGTATACACAGGATTTTCTTTCTTTCTTTCTTTTTTTATTCATCTGGGCCATCCCTGTTGTTGTTGTTGTTATGTGCCATGGAGTTGGTTCCCACTCATAGCGACCCTGTACAGGGTTTCTGAGGCTGTAAATCTTTACAGGAGCAGAAAGCCTCATCTTTCTCCCGCGGTCCCTGTAGAAACCTCAAAAGGATTCAGCCCAGTTCCTTTTTTCCTTTCCAAGCCATGGCCTGCTTCTGACTCTTTCCGGATAGGCCTTCACCTTCCTTCTTATCAGGTCTGCTGGACAGACTGGCAGCCAGAGCCTCTCCTCCAGACAGCCCTGCAGATTCCTGGGGCTGCGTCCTCTACTACGTTCCTATCGCCTGAGGACAGAGGGAGCGCACCCTTTAGCTTCCCTCCCCACCATCCTCCACCCAGGAAGAGAGGATCAGCCTGGACTCCAAAGGTCTGCTGTAGAGCTATAGTGCAAACAGGGCATTTCCTGTGGTGGCAGATTCTGCCGCAGTCAGGGAGCACACGGGAGGGAGCCTAGCAGGTTACAGCTTCTAGAGCAGTCACAACTGCCACCTCCTGCTTCAACAGAAGTCTGCAGGAGCCCTTGGATCAGAGAAGAGGGGCTTCAGCCCTGGCACCCTTTCCAACTTGTCCCCTCACTTTACCCCGGCCCCCCGCTAGTCTGTAGTCTAGCTGTCTGACTGGCATGAACTGATGCTTCAGGCTGGGAAAGCTTTAGGCAGCAGAGTAACCTGCTGCCTAACGTCCTAGCTGTAGCATAGTGGTTACAAATCAGGCTCCTAACCTCAAGGTCGGGAATTCGAAACTACCAGGTGTTCTGAGGGAGAAAGATGAGGCTTTCTACTCCGGTAAAGATTTAGAGCCTCGGAAACCCTGGGCAGGGTCACTATGCGTTATAACCGACTCCATGGTACTTAACAACAACAACAGCGTCCTAGCTGGCACAGAGCTGGAAAGAGCAGTTTATGTCTTAATCCACAGATAAGGAACAAAGTGAAGGGTTCAGCAAGGTCTGGGGCAGGACAAGGAGCCAGGCCCTTGGTTTCCTACCTCATCTGAAGGGAGGAGACAGAACAGGAAGGTAGCGAGGTCCAGGGAGACCTGAAGTCAGGGAGCCCTGAACAGCTTTCAGGTCAGAGCTGTCTAATAGAAAACCGTAAGTCCCAAATGCAAACCACAGCTGAGACCTGTCAACTTTCTAGTATCCACATTAAAAAAGTTAAAAGAAACAGTGAAATTAATTTTAAAAATATTTTTATTGAACTCAGTGTATCCAAAGTAACATTTCAACACATAATCAATATTGCAAAAAAAACCAACAACCTAGTGAGAGAATTTACATTCTTTCTTTCATCCAGTCTTCGAAATCTACGTGTTACAGCCCGTCTCGAGTCTGACTAGTCACGTGCCAAATGCTCACAGTCACGTGGGCCTCGTGGCTGCATGTGGGGTGCCATGTATCCCACCCTGGCCTTGTGACTGAATGCCTCTTCCCCGCCTCACACAGTTAACACCCTAATTCTTTCAAGATAGTTCCCCAAGAAGCCGAAAATGAAGCAGGAAGACAGCCAGTGCTCTTTCTTGGTTCCCATCCTTTCTCCTGTATTTTGATTCCCAGAGCAGGGAGCAGCCACCTGGTGCCTCGGGCATGTCTGCCCACTGCCTACCAGCCTAATCTGGGGAGTGGGCCAGATTCAACTCCGCCAGGAATTCACCTCTTGTTTTTCTTCCAGTGAATCAGTCCTGACCTCTGGGGCGTGTGAAGGGCCCCTTCAGAGCTCAGTGGCTTCCAGGAAGGCTTGAGGAAAAGGCAAAGCTCGAATGTTCCTGGTCACAACTTCCTCACTGCTTTTCGCCCCTAGCTCTTGGCTAGTTCAGCAGGGTCTCCCCTGGACAGCTCCCCACTGCACCCTAGGGAGACAGGACAGCGGGCTCGGCTCCCTAGAGCACTGCCATCACCTCCCTCTAGCAAAGATGAAGGCAGCTGAGCTGATTCCTCTCGGTTTCAGGAGTGGCGCTGGTTCCTGGAGTTGTAATCATTCACACAAATGATCCTTCCTGAGGACTGCTGATGGCAGGCGTGGTTAACCAACAACTGTCACCAGGAATAAGGTGCAGCGAGAACACAGGAGACCTTCCCCACTCAGTCACTAGCTGGCTACCATGCCTCCCTGTTTCTGCTTGTTCCACCCTCCCTACCTCTCCTGCCACCCTTGCCAAGTTCAGTGTCTGGTCCCTGGGTTGCAGCCCACTGTGGGCGTGGTCAGACCCAGGCAGCTGTCCCTGATCTCTGGGGTCTGCTGGGCACTTCATCCTCTCCTCCTCTCTGTTCTGTCCACAGTTAGGCCTGCCAGCATGGCCTACGGTGCCCAGCCCCCTCCTGCATGTCTACCCCTTCCCCTTGCTCCTCCTCCAACCCTCTTCCAACCAAACAGCTTGGTTTTCACTGTTGAGTCCAACTCTGCAGAAGAAGAGTGTGGGAAGATGGGTGGGCACCCCTAGTCACACAGTCTGACTTCATAAAAACCCACCTGGAGCCATGTCCAAGGTGAGGGCAGTAACTAACCTATCAGGCCTGGGCATCGCAACACCTGGTGGTACCTGGAGTATGGGGTCGGGGGAGGTGGTAGGACAATAGGGGTGAGAGATGGACCCTCTGGAGCTGGTCTGAGTCACCCTCACCCTGTCGTGATTGATTCCAGAGCCACATATAGCCAAGCTGACACACTTGGGGAGCCAGGTGAATGTGTCTGACTTTTAAAACGTACCTGTGCCATTTGTGTGGGGTGGGGGTACATGGTGTCCCCTGGCCGCCCCCTCACATCAGCTAGAACACCAGGCAGAGAACTGAGCAATGTGAGCAGGGAGTTGGCTTCTTGCCTTCCTGAGGCTGCGAGGAGCCGCCCCATCTCTCCCAGCGTGGGTGGAAGACTGCCTGATAGCGGGGTCTCTCTGCACAGCGGGAGGCATTCATTAACCCTGCACCCACTCTGCCGCTCTCTGGGAGCCTGCGGGATTGAGCCAATCTGTCTCTGGGCCTGCATGCGTCTGTCTGTCTGGGGCCCTACCCCTCTCGGCCAGCTGTTTTCCCATCTGAGCAGATCTCTGGGCGTGTGGGTGTAACAAGCCCGGACCTTCCCTGAGACTGCAGCCTGATTGTCCCGCCTCTGGGCACTGCCCTTTCCTCCCAAACTGGTTGTGCTGGAGCGGGCGGGGTGGGCGCGCCTGGGTGCATGCGCGGCAGCTCCAGGCTCTGCTCACCTGCAGAGGTGCCTCCCAGAAACTGCCTGGCCCCCGAGCCCGCGCCCCACCTCGCCAGAGCCAGCTGCCAGGCCAGGAAGGACACACGCCGCTGCCAGCCACCCGCACCGGCCGAGCCCAGCCTGAGCCGGCACCGACTTCATCACCATGTTCAAGGGGCTGAGCAAAGGCTCCCAGGGGAAGGGGTCCCCCAAAGGCTCCCCGGCCAAGGGCTCCCTGGCCAAGGGCTCCCCCAAGGGCTCCCCCAGCAAGCACAGCCGGTGAGCGGGACCGGGTAGGGTGGCTGGGACAGGGGTATGCCTGAAGGCTCCAGCCATCTGGAAGTGGCAGCCCAGAGACCAGGATCAGACCAGCGCTGGCTTTTGGTATCCTAAGGCCAAAGGGCCGGAGGGTGAGACTTTGCTGCTAACAGCAGCTGCTCGCCCAGGCAGGAAGCCAGGGGTCGGGGGCAGTGGGAAGGGTGTCTGGGTCTACTTCATTCTCCATGGGGTCTCGGGCCCAAAGGTGAGGCCACTTGGGGAAAGGTGCTGGACAGGGCCTAAGCAGACTTCAGCCTGTTGAAGAAAGGAGGCTGGGGCATCTGGCTCTCTCTCTAGAGCAACTTGACAAGGGAAATAACCCGGGAACCTGGGCACACGGTTGGCCCAGAGAAACTGAGTGAGGGGGGAGGACAGAGAAGCTGAGTGTGTGTTTGTGTATGGGGGCTGCCCAGAGAAGCTGAATGGGGCCAGGAGTTCCCCACCTAAACTGCAGCTCCAAGAACTCACTCAGGCCTTGGGATTTTGTTACTGAGTGTTGTTAAATAATTGGGGTGACTGCTTTAACTGGGTGACTTATGAAGTGGGCCTCTTGGCTCTCCCTTCCTGCTCACACTGAAGGGTCGTGTGCAGCTCTCTGCTAGACCCTGGGCCTCACAACAGCTGGGGGCTGAGGCCTTGGTCTCCTGGGTCCTCCCTACCCAAGAAACTTGACTGGTGTTCTTCCCACCCACTAGGCCCCAGCCCCCTTTGCAAAGTGGGGGAGACCAGTCACCTGCCTGGGGTCTGAAATGAGAGTAGAGATGAAAGGCTGGAGCTGGGGCGTGGGGGGCCCATTACCCCGATAGGGATCAGTGTGGCAGCACCTGCTAGGAGTCTGGCTGGGTGGGAAAGGTGGCAGCTAAGACTCTTCATGGAGTGACCTGTCTTCCCTGGGGCCCCTGAGCCCTGCCCAGAGTGGGAGAGGCCCCTTCCTGTGGGAGCAGCCCTCCCAGGGGCCCAACTGAGACCCGAGTACTAAGACTCAATGCTCGAAGCTCCCTCCCCAGGCAAGGTTCCAGAACAGGCTTCCTGGCTGGATCAATCAATCCAGGGGGTCCTGTTGACTCTGGCTGAAGCCCCTCAGACATGCTGCCCACCCACTCAATAAGTATTTCTTGAGCGGCTGCAACGGTCATTACCCTTTTAAGGCATATACTGGGGGCCCACTCTGCCCTAAAGTAGAGGTTGCAAATGCAAATAATGTTCTTTATTTTAATGCGCAATAACCCTTTGGGTAGGTGCCCTGGTGGCACAGTGAGTTAAGTATTGGACTGCTAAGAGGCTGGCAGTTCAAACTCACAAACAGGCTCCACAGGAGAAAAAATGAAGCTGTCTGCTCCCATCTTGGGAAACCTAGGGAACAGTTCCACTCTGTCCTATAGAGACACTGGGAGTTGGAATTGCCTCACTGGTAGTGGGTTTTGGTGTTGCAGCTATTAAAGCTCTACCTTCTAAGTGAAAGTACTGGTGTAGCGCTGTAGGATAAGCACTGGACAGCTAACCACAAGGTTGGCGGTTCAAACTCACCAGCTGCTCCTCGAAAACAGGGTCATTATGAGTTGGAACTGACTCTAAGACACTTAAAAACGACAACTTTTCAAATGAGGAAGTATAGGCACAGAGAGGTTGGATAACTTTCCCAAGATCACACAGCAGTAATGAGGGAGTAGCCTCAAAGCCAGGCTGGCTGTCTGGCTACAGAATTCTTTCAAACCGCTTTTTCTGGCTGCCCCTCTGCCTGGATGGCCCACCCTTTGACCTCTGGTTCAAGGCCTTTTCTGAAGTCTGTTGGACCCAGTAAACCGACACGGAATAGGTGCTCTGTTCCAGAATGAATGTAAAAAAAAGGACCCAGGATTCAGTTCAAGTTCATGCTCTCTCTTGACAAGCTGTGGGACTCAGAGCCAGCCGGCTCCCAATCTGGGCCTTGAACCCCAACTCTGGAAAATGTTGGAGTACCCCAGCAATCTGTGGGCTCCCCTTGCTCCAATGCCATGTGGTTCTTCCAGATCATTGCTCAGGCCTGTGCAAAGTCTAGGGCGCACAAGGCTGGAAGTACATGGGAGCAAACACAGTTGCGTCCCTGCCCCAGGGAGCCTGGTCACCTCCCCCCAGGGCTCTGTCTCACTGATTCAGTGATGCCACGACTTCCTGAGACCCCAGGCTGTCAGGCTACAGAGGGCTGGGGTGGGTCCAGGGCTTTCTGCCAGGATAGCTGGCTGAGGCTGGGACATTCTGTGGTCCTCCTCCACACATCCCACCAAGTTAGAACGGGGATCCTGGCTTTCTAAAGTCTCATGCTGGGGATAGTACCCCCCACCTAGGACTCAGTATGTCAGAGTCCCCCACAGCATGGGATTCCACCCTCCAAGGCAGTGAGCCTGGCTGCAACTCATGCTTGAGGGGGGCAGAGGGGCCTTTTCAAACCATGAAGGCTTCTGTTCACCCCTTCTCACCAGAGCCGCCACCCAGGAACTGGCTCTGCTCATCTCTCGAATGCAAGCCAATGCTGACCAGGTGGAGAGGGATATCCTAGAGACCCAGAAGAGACTGCAGCAGGTGAGAATGCAGAGCTGATAGCCGGCACAGGGGCAGCTGGATGGCACCAAGAGGTCCAATGCCACGTCTGGTGATCTGCAGGGGTATACATGGGTTACTCTCTTCTCATGCCCACTACCGCTGGTGGAGATGGAGCAAGAGCTCCCAGTTCACCACCCACATCCCCTACTGCTCCTCAGACCCCACAGTAGGACAAGGGCTCAGCTTTCCTTCTCTGTTGGGCTCCCTATGTTGGGACTTGAGAAGGGGCCTTCCCCTAATGTCCTTGCTGTCCGGTCCACAGATGCCCTGGGCCTTGAGGTTGGCCACTGTGGTTGAGATTCCCTCAGGGTGGGGCTCAGGCCTGCAGAGATGGTGCACCAAGTTTCTAATGCAGACCCCTCCTGTCTGGGCTGCACCCTAGGACCGACAGAACAGCGACTGCAGCCAACCTCTGCAGTACCAGCAGGAGACGGGCCGAAACCTGAAGGAAGCTGAGATGCTGCTCAAGGACCTCTTTCTGGATGTGGACAAGGCCCGGAGGTTCAAGCACCCACAGGCGGAAGAAATTGAGAAAGAGTGAGTGGGGTGGTGCCAGGAGACTGCAGCGGGGGGGGGGGGGGGTGTCCAAGGAAGAGGCCTAACTCCCCCTCCCCCTGCCCACCTCCCTGAAGCATCAAGCAGCTGCATGAACGTGTGACCCAGGAATGCTCCGAGTACCGCGCCCTGTATGAGAAGATGGTGCTGCCGCCGGACATGGGGCCCAGGGTGGACTGGGCATATGTCCTGGAGCAGAAACAGGTAAGACCCCCACCTCCCACCCCCAGATCTGAGCCACCCTCTCAGAGCCCAAACTCCTTCCCCCGCAGCCATGAAAGAACAATCCAGAACAAACTGGCTTTAATGTCAGGTGGTTTAGGGATGCACTCTGGAGGCCTTTGGCAGGAGAAGGCCTTTAAAGAGGGGCAGACAGGAATTACCAGGAAGAAGAAACAAAGCTCCAGCCAGAGGAAGCCTGGTGGGGTGGGGATGGGGGTGAGTGTTCTGGGTGGGTGGCCAGAGCCTGGTCTCAGGGCATCCTGAATGTCGGGTGGGGAGTTCCACTTTGATGCCACAACAGAAGGGGTGTCGTGGTGACAAGGAAGGGACAGTGGGCGAGGGGAGGGATGGAGCTGTCCTGCAGAAGGCAGGGAGGGAGTGGGACTTTTCAGAGGCTGAGCCCGGGTCCTGGGACTGGAAAGCGGGGGGTGGGGCGCTCAGGGAATACAGCCAAGGTCCCTGGAGACTGCACGTCCCCCAGGGGTGTCACTGGCTACTCACCTGGCAGTCCATAACATTATCCATCCATCACTCCTCTGGGGTGAGGATGGACAAGGAGGTCTCTTTGGGATGGGTCCTCTGGGTTCTCGCACACTGCCTGCTGAATGCTGGCTCCCCCCACTTTAGAAACAAGTGGGTGAGGGCCAGTATGGGCCAGGCATGGCAGAGCTGGAGCGGCAGGTGGCTGAACACAACATCCTGCAGAAAGAGATCGAGGCGTATGGGCAGCAGCTACGGAACCTTGTGGGGCCGGTGGGTGCAGCCAGCCCTGTCCCTTCCAGATCCTTCTTCCCCATGGTTGTGGGGGGAGGGCCCTGGGATGGGCTGTCTCTGCACGCTGCCTCTCACTGGGCCTGTGTGTTCTCCCCCTTGGTCCACGTAGGATGCAAATACCATCAGGAACCAGTACCAGGACCTGCTGGTGAGCAGGGGTGGGGGCGGCAGGGTTGGCTGTCCAGGGTAATGGGGTGACCGTGGGCAGGCTGGTCCCGAAGGCTGGGAATACAGGGTGACAGGGAAGAGAGAACTGGGAGGCCAGAGTGACTGTGGCAGGGTGGGCTGGGCGTGGGGTGGTCCAGCGTTTCTGGGCCTGGCTGATGATGCTCTTCACCATCCCCGTCCCCCTCCTCTGGGGCCGGCGCTCGCTGTCGTGAGCGCAGAAGGCGGCCTCGTGGCGTGGCCAGAGCCTCGGCAGTCTCTACACGCACCTGCAGGGCTGCACGCGGCAGCTGAGCGCCCTGGCGGAGCAACAGCGGCGCATTCTGCAGCAGGACTGGAGCGACCTCATGGAAGACCCCGTGGGCGTGCGGCGGGAGTACGAGGTCAGAGGGGCGCGGGAATTGTGGCAGGGGGGGGTGGAGGGGGGAGTGGCAAGGGCCCACCTGGTTCTGACTGCCAGCGCCCGGCCTCACCTAGCACTTCAAGCAGCACGAACTGCTGAGCCAGGAGCAAAGCGTGAACCAGCTGGAGGACGACGGAGAGCGGATGATGGAGCTCCGGCACCCGGCCACCCGGACCATCCAGGTGCGAGGCTGGACTTCCGACTACCTCAGGCACCGGCCCTCCCTTCTCACAGTGGAGGGAGGGGCTTCTGGAATGGGAAGGAGCCGGTCAGTTGGTAGGGGAGGGCGAGGGAGGGCCGGGGGTTTCCAAGGCTCTACGCTGTTGTTTCCAGGTGCACCAGGAAGCCCTGAAGATGGAGTGGCAGAACTTTCTAAACTTGTGCATCTGCCAGGAGAGTCAACTGCAGCACGTGGAGGCCTATTCCCGGGTGAGCTCTGGGCAGGGCCGGGACTAGGCACAATGTATCAGTACAACTTGTTTTCCTACCAACTCCAACTCAGAGCAGGACAGCGCACCCTAGGGTTTTCAGTAGCTGAATTCAGAAGTAGATCCCCAGGCCTTTCTTCTGGAGTTGCTCCTTCTAGTTAGCAACCAAGCATATTAACCTAAGGGCTCCTTCTGGACCAGTAAAATCCTCTCACAAATAAAACTAATGTATCATTGTAACTTGGCCCCAGAGGGGAATGATGTCTCGCACACACATTTGAAAGGGTTGTAACTATTGTCTCCAGGGATCCAAAAACTGGTTCTTGGGAGCAGAAAAAAACTCTTGTTTTTACATAGGAGACAGTTATACATACAATTGTGTACTGTCAAGTTAGTTGCAACTCACAGCAACCCTATAGGACAGAATAGAATCGCCCCATAGGCTCTCGTACGCATCATTATGGGACCAGATCACTGGGTATTTTCTCCCTTGGAACAGCTAGTGGGTTCAAACTACTGACTTTTTGGTTAGTAGCTGAGTGCTTGCCCGCTGTGCCACCAGGCTCTGTGGTCCTTATCCATTTTGTACATGAACAGTAATCGAGTATTATAGCTTTGGTATTAACACTTGATGGAGAAGCAGGGACTTAGGAAAAAACATCTAAAAGGCTCCTTTGGGGATAATAATAATTTTGGAAAGAGTTAAGAATCACTGATACAATGTACAACTGGGATTTTTTTTTTTTTTGAGAGGGTAATTTCCACTCGATATGTTTTCCTACATTTTTTGAGAAAGGTAAAAGCCAAGTATTTCTCTCCCTCTCTTTTTTAAGGGCCTAGTGAACCGGCTGACAGTAATCCCAAAATGCCATAGAGCATGGTGTTGCTTTAAAGCACGTTTCCAACATCTGCCCTGATGCTGGCACATGTTCGCTGGGTTTAGTTTGAACTGATTTGGATTTCCCTGAGTTAAGTTCAGTTGCTTAGCAGGGTCAGTGGGCAGCAAGCCGCCTCTGGGCTTTGCCCTTGACCACCCTGGAACCTCAGTTTCAGGAAGAGGCTGGTTCCGTCAGCCAGACCCTGGCAAAGCTCAATTCCAGCCTGGAAACCAAGAACAGCCCTGCTCCAGGGGTTCCACCTGGTGCCTGCACAGAGCTACTCCGACAGCTGGAGGTGAGATAACCTCACCTGGCCACCTTCACCCCAACTGTACCCCATTGCTGGGCTTCGGGGCTCAGGCCTGGCCTCCCAGGTATGCAGTCCTGCCCTGAGCCTGGGCCTGGGAGTCTTCTCCCATCTCTGTTACCATTAAACCCTTCTCCTCTGGGCCTGTTGGCTCACCTGTAATGTGAGAGGGAGACCTGGACAGCTCCGAGGCCACTCTAGCTCCTACTCTGGAGGTCTGGATGCTGGGAAGCCCACACCCCAATCACAAACCTCAAGAGGGGCCCCTTTCACTTTGCTTAACTAGAAACCCTTGACTTACGGAGGCCAGGTGTGAGTCTGGACTCCAGTGAAGCCTGAGCTCTCACTGCTTGGTCTGGCAGGTGGAAGAGAAGCAGCTGGCAATGGCTGAGAGGACTGTGAGGGACCTGCAGCAGAGAAGCCAGGAGGTGGTCCCACTGCCCCTCCGCAGAAGTCCGCCCCAACAGCCCCTGCATGTTGACAGCATCTGTGATTGGGACTCCGGAGAAGTATGGGCTATGGGCCCTGTCTCGGCCCAGCCCTGCCCCTGTCCTCGCCCTTCCCAGCTTCCCTCCTCCCCACCTCACCCCTGTTCCACCCCTGCCTTGGTCCTGCCCCAGTCTCACCCTGCCCCAGCCTTCCCAAGCCTCTCCCTGCCACACCTCTATCTTTCACCTTCCCCTGGCCCAGCGCCACCCCTGCCCAAGCCCTGCCTTCCCCTGGACTGTCCCAACCCCATCCTGGTGGTGGCCCTTCTACCCTCGTGGCCCTGCCTGATCCCCCCTCCACCTACCCAGGTACAGCTCCTTCGGGGTCAGCGGTACACACTGCTGGACAATTCTGACCCACACACCTGGGTCGTGCAGAGCCCCGGTGGGGAGACCAAGCACGCCCCAGCCGCTTGCTTCTGCATCCCAGCGCCGGACCCTGATGCTGTGGCCAAGGCCTCCAGGTAGGCCACCCCCAAGTCTCCACAGTGACACTCAGGGAGAGATGTCTGAGGTGCCCTGCCTAAATGCTGGCCTCCTCCTTCAGAGTAGTGACTGCTGGGGGTGGGGGACAAACAGGCTGTCCCCCCCTGATTGCCTCCTTATTCCAGGCTGGCCTCGGACCTGCAGGCTTTGAAGCAGAAACTGGCCACTGTCCAGAGCAGCCTGAAGACCAGTGTAGCAGAACCCACACGGCCGGACCAACAGGGTACCAGGGGTGTTGGGTTAGAGGGAACACATATCTACTTCAGCCACTGCTGGGGGGTTGCAGTGGGCAAGGGGGCCTGGGTTACAGCCATGATCTCCAGGGTTGGCAAGCCCCTCCCCTTCTAGGCTCCACTCCACACAGGACCCCATTTGATCACTCAAAGGTTCCTTGGGCAGACACGAGGTAGGCCCTGGGTGCTTACCAGCACCCTGTGCCCCTAGTTCCTACCAGCTTGGCCCCAGCCAACCCACAGGCCCAGAAACTCCTGACTCAGATGACTCGGTTGGACGGGGACCTGGCGCTGATGGAGAAGCAGGTGTTGGCCTGGGTCCGGGCCCCACTGAGCCGCACTTCACCCCTAGAGGACCTGGAGGCCCGAGTCTGCAACCACAAGGTAGGTGAAGACAGGATGGACCTGCTTTAGAAGGAGCAACGCTGGGCAGAGCAGGGAGAATCTAGGGCTCAGAGGAGCTGGGCCCTATCCCAGCCACTCCACAACCAGCTCTGTGGCCTTGGGCAAGCCTTTCTGGGCCTCCGTATTAACCTCTCTGATATTGTGCTAAAGATGAAAGTTCCAGAAGGGCCTGGGTGTTCTGGGAGGGTCCCCGAGGGTAGCGAGAAGCATCTAGGGAAGATAGTTTCTGGTTAGAGGAGGAAAACCTTCCTGGAAAGGCTGCAGAGTTGTGCAAACGCCATGAAAAAATAGGGCACACCCTCCACGGCGTGAGAGTCTCTCTCCTGAGGAGCTGAGAATCCAGCCATCCCTTTCCCACACCTGGAAGCAGTGGGCAGCTTGAGCTCTTCCAAACCGGCTTCTACTCAAGTATACGGGTACTATGTGGGCTTGGTTTGAAAAAAGCGCATCATGTTGTTTATAGATCACAGTGCCTGCTTGTTGCTTACACTCATTCCACAGCACTGTCGCTGTCAGGGGACCAGGTGGGAGCACAGGTGTTTTCAGAGGTGGGAAAGGACGAGCATTCATGTTGCCGGTTGGGTTATGGACTGGAGAAGAACAAGCAGGGGACACAGGCGACATTGGCTGAAGGAGACGCCGAGCTGTGACACGTCTCTGTGGCCAACCCCTGGGGTGGGGCTGAGTCATTACACAGGATGCCCCTCAGCCTGGCAACCCCCACGTCCGGCAGAATCCAGGGCTGTTTCCTATAGCACCAGAGTGACCAGGGGACTATATGCCTTTGAGTCCTGAAATGCCAGTATGTCCCACATCAGGGGTGTTGAGGGGCCTGGAGAAGTGAGGGGATTCTAGGCAGCACCTCCTTGTCCTGACTTGTGGAATGGATGAATGAGTGAGTGAATGAATGCAGCGGGCAGAGCTAAAGGAGCTCTGGTAGCGTAGTGATTACGAATTGGGCTGCAAGCCACAAGGTCAGCAGTTCAAAACTACCAGCTGTTCCACGGAAGAAAGATGAGGCGTTCTGCTCCCGTAAAGATTTATAGCCTCGGAAACGCTGTACAGGGTCGCTATGAGTCGGAACCAACTCCACAGCACATAACAACAACAACAAAGGCAGTGCCTCCTTGTCCTGACTTGTGGAATGGATGAATGAGTGAATGAATGAATGCAGCGGGGCAGAGCTAAGACTTGACTGCCTCATTCTGGAGTCCCGGCTGGGAAGCTGAAAGTTATGTGACCAGGTAATGACATCATAGGTGAGACCATGACATGCAGGGTCTCATTTAGTTCTTCCATTAGGCTCATTCTGCAGATGAAGAGACTCAGGGTCAGAGGGGATGACTTGCCCAGAGTCATCCACATACATGGTAACTAGCAAGGCCAGAACTATACCCAGTTCTCCGGCCTGGAGCACAAGCATATAGCTGCCAAGCCTAGTTCTCCTACCTGCAAGGGGCTGAGCAGGCAGGAGGGCTGGGCAGAGATTGGCTCTTCCACGTGGACCAGAGCAGAGACCCTGGTTCCTTTCCCTCCTCCTGCCAGAGCCTGGTCCAGCGCCTGCAGAGTCTGGGAGCTGAGAAGGAGGTCGCCCAGCGGGAGTGTGAGGCCTTCCTGTCAGCACGGCCTGTGGGCCCCGTGGCCCTGCAGCTGCCTGTGGTCCTCAACAATGTTAAGAACAAATACAGCGACTTGCAGGTTCTGTGCAGCCTCTATGAAGACAAGTGAGTGCCTGGGACTGGCTGTGGACAGGCAGCACAGCTTGGCTAGGCTTACCTGACCCTCACCTCCTCCACACAGAGCCAAGGCCGCCCTGGGTCTGGAGCAGCAGATCCGAGATGCAGAAAAGGTTATCTGTGGCTTCGAGTCCACCCTGACTCAGGAGGCCCCCATCTCCGATGGCCCTGATGCACTGCAGCAGAGGGTCAGCGAACTGCAGGTAAGGTCCTGGCAGTATCCTGAAGGAGGTTTAACCTGGTCAGACATTCAGGCCAGGTGGAGGGTGGACAGGGTGTCTCAGCTAACCATGAGGGTGCTTGGTGGTTGTGTCCGCCCAGCGCCAGCGGAGGGAGCTACTGGAGCAGCAGGCCTGTGTGCTGGGGCTGCACCGAGAACTGAAGGCCACCGAGCACGTGTGCAGCGCGCTACAGAACAACTTCTGTGAGTTCTGCCAAGACCTGCCTCGCCAGCAACGCCAGGTGCGAGCCCTCACTGACCGCTACCACGCCATAGGGGATCAGCTGGACCTGCGGTGAGTGTACTCGATACAACCCCACAGTGGGCAGGCTGGGCACTGCCGCTGACAAGCTGTGTGACATTAAACTGGTGACTCTGTGACTCAGTTTCCCCACCTGTGAAATGGGATGATAGCCTCCTAGAGTGGTTGGTGCCCAGCAGAGGGTGTCAGGACACAGAGTAGGAGGGACATGGTGGCTCACTAAGGCCTCCTGACCTGTCCCAGGAAAGGGGTGTCCCCCAGCCACCTCCCTGCACCCCTCACCTGGCCCAAGAGGTTGGCTCTCACCTCTCCTCTGGCCTCGTCCCCCCGCAGGGAGAAGATGGTGCAGGACATTGGCCTCACCTACCAGCAGTTCAAGAACTGCAGGGACAACCTGAGCTCCTGGCTGGAGCATCTGCCCCACAATCAGGTGCGGCCCCATGACGGGCCCAGCCAGATGGCTTACAAGCTGCAGGCACAAAAGGTGAGTGCCCAGGACTGCAGGACCCTGCCCAGAGCCAACATCTCAAGCTACCTCCCTGGCCACCTTCCGCATAGGGCGGCTGCCTGTGCGCATGTTGCCCTCTAGTGACTGAGACTCAAAAGCGCTCTGCTGTTAGGTACAGAGAAGGAGCTCTGCTAGCATAGTGGTTACAAATCGGGCTGCAAACCTCAAGATCAGCTGTTCGAAACTACCGGCTACTCTGCAGATGAGGCTTTCTGCTCCCATAAGGATTTAGAGCCTCGGAAACCCTGTTCAGGGTCACTATGGGTCAGAACCGACTCAACGGCACTTAACAACAACCTATACAACAACAACCTATACAGGGTCGCTATGGGTCAGAACTGACTCGAAGACTCGGCACTTGACAATAACAACAACAATCTTATATGGGTTATGCGGGTTATTGTTTGTTGTTGTTGTTGTTGTTAAGTGCCGTGGAGTCAGTTCCAACCCATAGTTTCGAACTGCTGACCTTATGGTTCACAGCCCGATTCGTAACCACTATGCTACCAGAGCTCCTTACTGTACTGACTTTGGTCTGAACTGCAAGGTTGGTGGTTCAAGCTCACCAGCTGCTCGAACCAACTCAGAACCAACTCGACTTAACAACAACAACCTTATATGACAGAACTGCTCCAAAGGGAGCTCTGGTAGTGTAGTGGTTATGAATCGGGCTGTGAACCTTAAAGTCAGCAGTTCGAAACTACCAGCCGCTCCGCGGGAGAAAGATGAGGCTTTCTACTCCCGTAAAGATTTACACCCTCGGAAACCCTATACAGGGTCGCTATGGGTCGGAACCGACTCGATGGCACATAACAACAACAACAACAATCTTCATGGAATCAGATAACTAGGTCTGTCCTGCACAGAGTCACTGGGTGGGTGACCTTTAGGTTAGCAGATACGTAATTAATGGTTACCACCCACAGCAACAAGCCATTGTTAATGTTAACTTACAGTGACCCTAAAGGACACAGTAGAATTGCACCTTAGGGCTTCTGAGACTGTAAATCTTTATGGGAGCAGACAGCCTTATCGTTCTCCCACGGAACAGCTGGTGGATTTGAACTGATGACCTTGAAGTTAGTAGCCCAACCCTAACCCATGGCATCACCAGGGCTCCTTGTTAATCCACTTGTTGTTGTCGAGTGCCGTCGAGTTGGTTCCGACTCATAGTGATCCTGTGTAGGGTTTCCAAGGAGCAGCTGGTGAGCTTGAACTGCCGACCTTGCAGTTCAAACAGCTTTGCAGTCTGGTGCATTAACCAGGACTCCTGTTAAGCCTCTGAGGCTCCTTAAAAGTCCATAATGTATTGCCTAAGATTCGAACTCAAACCTCCCTCATAGAAGGTGAAAATTCTACCACTGGACCAGCAGTGCAAACAGAAGCCTCTTCAAAGCTCAGACTACCAAGGTTTTATGTTCCTTTAACCCCACCCTGAAATGCTCCCCCTTTTCCCACAAGCCCCAGCGCAGTTCTGTCTGGTCTGAGGCAGGCTACGGGCTTCATGTTTAGGCTGCAGAGCTCCTGGGGTTTCCATCCATGCCTGCATCCTCTTCCTCATACTTGTCAGGCCCCGGTTTGCTGCTAGGGGCTGGACCCATGATGGAAGGTATAGCTCCACCCTCAAGCAGCTGCTAGGCTGGTGGGGAGAACTCCAGTTCACAGGTACTCACTGCTGGCCATGGTTGGTGTCAGAGAAAGTGGTCTAAAGGACCAGGCACCTATGCCAAGACCTGAGAGATAAATCTAGTAGCTATGGGCAAAACATCCTAAGCCAAAGCCTTGGGCAGTCAGGGGACAGGAGTGACCAGAGGTGAGGACCCCTGTTGGCCACAGGAAAGCACTGGACATTTGACAAGGATGCCAGGATGTTACTGGGAGGGACACCTTCAGATCTGTGTCTGCCAAGCTGGCTCTGGCTATCCCCAAGAGAATGGTTAAGGAGGTTCATAGGAGTCAGGGTCAAATCCCAGCAAGAGGCTGGAAGAGTGGGAAAAGGGTCCTAGGGTAGGAAGAGGTGGTGGGTTTGAGAGATGCAGATGGTGGCTATTAGTGACTATTATAGGAGCTCTGGTAGCGTAGTGGTTACGAATCGGGCTGCAAACCTTAAGGTCAGCGGTTCAAAACTACCAGCCGCACCCCGGGAGAAAGATGAGGCTTTCTACTCCCGTAAAGATTTACACCCTCGGAAACCCTGTACAGGGTCGCTATGGGTCGGAACCAACTCGATGGCACATAACAACAACAACAACAAGCTGGACTTAGTGACTATTCAAGGGAGACAGGGACCCCAGAGGTTTTGTCAGGGACACTCAGGACGAGGGCATAGCCCTACTTGACATAGTGAATACAAGAACACAGTGCATTTGGGGTGAAGAAACAAAGTTAGCTGGGGTCCTGCTGAGTGTGAATGTGAGTAGGGAGTTGGAGCCAGAGCTATGGGAGGAAGGTGTGGACTGGGAGGCCCCGTAGGGAAGCTGATGGCAAAGTGCTGGGGAGATCGAGGGCACATAGGGAGACACTAGAGGATCATGCCAGGGAGAGGGCAGGGGACAGAGATCCACAGTCCTGGCAACTTTCAAAACACACCCATGCCAGGAGACCACCCCAGGCCAATAAAATAGGAATTTCTGGAACCAGAGCATTGGCATTTTAAAAACTTCCCCCAGGTGACTGTTGTTGTTGTTAAGTGCCATCGAGTCAGATCTGACCCATAGCGACCCTGTACGGGGTTTCCGAGGCTGTAAATCTTTACGGGAGCAGAAGAACTGTAGGAGCAGTGATTTTCAAGAATTGGTCCCCAGCCAGCATAGGAAGCATCAGCATCACCAAGGGATTATCAGAAATGCAAGCTTTCAGGCTCCATTCCAGACCTCCTGAATCAGAAACTCTGAGGGTGGTCCCAGCAATCTGTGAACTAACTCTCCAGGGGCTTCTGATGCAGGCTCCAGTTTGAGAGTCCCTGTACTGGCCCAGAACTCTGAGGGGCACTGGGTGAAAGAATGGGATTCTGCTTGGAAGGAAAGGAAGGCAGAAAACCAAGAGCATGAGGTCAGGGAAGGACAGACTGCCTGTGGCTGGATGGAGGGGTCAGGGTGAGTGGCTTTCTTGACTCCTACTTCTTCCCTGACAGAGATTGCTGCAGGAGATCCGGGGCCGAGAGCGGGACAAGATCATGGCATCCTGCCTCTCCCGGGACCTGCAGGCTGCTCTCCAAGTAAGCAGTTATACGACTGTTTGTCCCTCTTAGTCCATCACCCTCCCTCTTCCAGTTCCCTGCTTCCCCACAGTCTTCTCACTGCAGTCTGTTGTCCGTCCCGTCCCTCCCTGCTCAGGACTATGAACTGCAGGCAGATACCTACCGCTGCTCCCTGGAGCCCACCCTGGCAGTACCAGCTCCCAAGAGACCTCGAGTGGCTCCTCTGCAGGAGAGCTTCCAGGTCCAGGTGAGGCGGGACCTGGCTAGGCTGAGCATCTTTTGGCACCAGTTTTCACGGCTAGAGCTGACTGCCTCCTTCTCTCTTACTCTGTCCTCTCCAGGAGAAGAACTTGACCAAGGCCTATACGGAGGCTGCAGCTGCGCATCAGCAGCAGCTACACCAGCTGGAGTTTGCCATAAAGATGCTGGAGAAGGTACAAAGACAATGCCCACTCTGTTCCCGCAGTAGCCAGCCAAGTCCTGTTATTAACCTGGGAGTCTTCCCTCCCTCCTGAACCTGCAGCTTCAATCCCTGGGCAGGTTCAGCCTCGCCCTCATCTCTCACCATCAGTCAATAGACTGATCTTCATCCCAGAGTTAGGCCCCGGGGATGTCATTCAATGTGACCACAGCTTAGACCCTGGGGAGTTCTCCAAAGGAGCCAGGACCTCTTGCCCAAGAGAACAGAGAAAAGCCTCTAAAACCTTCAGCCTTGGGACCAGCCTGCACTGGGCAAGAGGCCACCAGGGAGACCCTGGGAGAACAGGAGCCAGAAGGTCTCTTGGTGACCAGATGGAGGACTTGACAACGTTTCTATGACTCTCAGCTGTGCTCCTGCACTTGCTGGGAGCCTGGGTGGAAGGGGAGAGGGAAGGGAAAACTTGCTCCATATGCACGTTCTAACCTCACAGGTCTTCTCCAAACCCTGTTGTGTCCAAACATCTCGGGTCAAGGGCATCTCCCAGGACCTACCAGACAGTATCAGGAAGCAGGGAGGGGTCTCTGATCTCAGAGAGGAGTGGAAAGATGAGGCTCGGCCTGATGCTTCCCTTCCTTTTTCTCACTCTCTCTGCAGAAGGAGCTCAGTGAGGACATCCAGGTGACCCATGATGCAAAGCAGGGCTCTGAGAATCCAGCGCAAGCAAGGCGGGAGTCCGAGGCACTGATGTCCCAGCTGGAAGAGGAGAGGAAACAGGTGGCCCAGGTACAGCGTGAGCTGGAAAAACAGAGGGAGCGGCTGCTGCAGCTGAGGACCCAGCGGCCCTTGGAGAGGCTGGAGGAGAAGGAGGTGGTGGAGTTCTATCGGGACCCTGAACTTGAGAGCAGGCTCTTCAAGGTTAAATGTCAGGTGGAGGAGGAGGGCAAGAAACGCGCTGGCCTGCAGGCAGACCTGGAGGCGATGGCCCAGAAGGTGGCGCAGCTGGAGACCAAAAAAAAGTCCATGCAGCCTCATCTGCTGACTAAAGAGGTCACCCAAATTGAGCGGGACCCCAGCCTGGAAAACCAGGCAGCCCAGCTCAACAGCAAGATTGGGCAGCTCCGGGGGGAGAACACCGCCATCTCTGCCCGGCTGGAGGAGCTGAAGAAGGAGCTGCTGGCTCTTGAGCAGAAGGAGGTAACTGTGAAGGAGAAGGTGGTGGTGAAAGAAGTGGTCAAGGTGGAGAAGGATCTGGAAATGGTCAAGGCAGCCCGGGATCTAAAGCTGCAAATTGAAGCGGATGCAGCACGGAGGAAGTTGGCCCAAGAGACAGGGACCAAGTTACGGGCTCGCATAGAAGAACTAGAGCGTGCCATCAGTTCCGTGGAGCCCAAGGTGATCGTGAAGGAGGTGAAAAAGGTGGAGCAAGACCCCAGACTTCTTAAGGAGTCGTTCAAGCTGAGGAGCCTCCTGGAGGAGGAGAGAAACAAGAACGAGGCATTGGCCAAGGAGCTGAAGGAGCTGCACAGAAAGTACAGCAAGGTGGAGAAGCAGAAGCCCAAGGTGGAGTTCCGTGAGCAGGTCCGAGAGGTCTTCCAGGTGGACCCCGAGACGGAGCAGGAGATCGAGAGGCTCCGGGCGCAGCTGCAGGAGACAGCCGGCAAGCGGAGCAGCATTGAGAAGGAGGTGGAGAAGCTGCTAGCCGATCTGGCGGTGCTGCGGGCCCAGAAGCCCACGGTGGAATACAAGGAGGTGACGCAGGAGGTGGTGAGACACGAGAAGAACCCTGAGGTGCTGCGGGAAATCGACCGGCTGAAGGCCCAGCTAAATGAACTGGTCAATAGCAGCGGCCGGTCTCAAGAGCAGCTCATCCGGCTGCAGGGTGAGCGCGATGAGTGGAGGCGGGAGCGCTCCAAGGTGGAGACCAAGACGGTGAACAAGGAGGTGGTGCGCCATGAGAAGGACCCTGTCCTGGAGAAGGAAGCTGAGCGGCTGCGCCAGGAGGTGCGGGAGGCGACCCAGAAGCGGCGGGCTGCAGAGGACGTGCTCTACGAGCTCCAGAACAAGTTTCTGCTGCTGGAGAGGAGGCGACCCGAGGAGAAGGTGGTGGTGCAGGAGGTGGTGGTCACCCAGAAGGACCCGAAACTCCACGAGGAGCACAGCCGGCTGAGCCACAGCCTGGACGAGGAGGTGGGCCGTCGGCGGCAGCTGGAGCGGGAAGTACAGCAGCTGCGCGCTGGTGTGGAAGAGCAGGAGGCCTTGCTCAGCTTCCAGGAGGACCGCAGCAAGAAGTTGGCTGTGGAGAGGGAGCTGCGGCAGCTGAGCTTGAGGATTCAGGAGCTGGAGTCGCGGCCACCGACTGTGCAGGAAAAGATCATCATGGAGGAGGTGGTCAAGCTGGAGAAGGACCCGGACTTGGAGAAGTCCACAGGCACCCTGCAGCGGGACCTGGACCAGGAGAAGGCCCAGGTAATGGAGTTGCATCGGGAGTGTAAGAACCTGCAGGTCCAGATTGATGTCCTGCAGACCACCAAGTCCCAAGAGAAGACCATCTACAAGGAAGTGATCCGGGTGGAGAAGGACCCGGTGCTGGAGGGCGAGCGGTCACGTGTGTGGGAGCTGCTCAACAGGGAGCGGGCATCCAGGAAGGACCAGGAGGAGGTGGCAAGACAGCTGCGTGAGCACATCGACAGGGCCGAGGCACTGGGCAGGACCTGGGCCCGGGAAGAGGCCGAGCTGCACAGGGCCAAGGAGCAGGCGGACCAGGAGCGCCGGCAGTTGCAGCAGCAGCTGCGTGACCTGGAGCTGCAGAAACAACAGCAGGTGCTGCGCCTGCAGGAGGAATCCCAGGTGCTTAGCAAGAAGACAGAAAGCGAGCGGCAGCGGGCGACCCAGCGTGGCCAGGAGCTCTCACAGCTGGAGGCTGCCATCCTCCACGAGAAAGACCAGATCTACGAGAAGGAGCGGGCCCTGAGGCACCTCCACAACAAGGTCAGCCAAGAGGAGCTCAGCCAAGAGACCCAGACTCGCGAGACCAACCTTTCCACCAAGATCTGCATCCTGGAGCCCGAGACGGGGAAGGACATATCCCCTTACGAGGCCTACAAGCGGGGCATCATCGACCGGGGCCAGTACCTCCAGCTACAGGAACTCGAGTGTGACTGGGAGGAGGTCACTACCTCAGGGCCTTGCGGGGAGGAGTCCGTGCTCCTGGACCGCAAGAGTGGGAAGCAGTACTCCATCGAAGCTGCCCTCCGCTGCCGGCGCATCTCCAAGGAGGAGTATCACCTGTACAAGGTCGGCCGGCTGCCCATCTCTGAGTTCGCGCTGCTCGTGGCGGGTGAGACCAAGCCCTGCTCCTCACTGTCCATTGGCTCCATTATTTCCAAGTCCCCGCTTGCCTCCCCTGCCCCCCAGAGCATCAGCTTCTCGTCCAGCTTCTCTTTGGGGCTCAGTGATGACAGCTTCCCTATCGCCGGGGTCTACGACACGACCACAGATAACAAGTGCAGCATCAAGACGGCCGTGGCCAAAAACATGCTGGACCCCATCACCGGGCAGAAGCTGCTGGAGGCCCAGGCGGCCACAGGGGGCATCGTGGACTTGCTCAGCCGGGAGCGTTATTCGGTGCACAAGGCCGTGGAACGTGGGCTGATCGAGAACACATCAATGCAGAGGCTGCTCAATGCTCAGAAGGCCTTCACTGGCATCGAAGACCCAGTCACCAGGAAGAGGTTGTCTGTGGGTGAGGCTGTGCAGAAGGGCTGGATGCCTCATGAAAGCGTGCTCCCGCATCTGCAGGTGCAGCACCTGACCGGAGGGCTCATCGACCCCAAGCGCACCGGCCGCATCCCCGTGGCCCAGGCTGTGCTTGCGGGGATGATCAGCGAGGAGCTGGCTCAGCTCCTACTGGATGAGGCCGGTTATGAGAAGGATCTCACTGACCCCCTCTCCAAGGAGCGGCTGAGCTACAAGGAGGCCATGGGGCGTTGCCGCAGAGACCCCCTGAGTGGCCTACTGCTGCTCCCGGCTGCACTGGAGGGGTACCGCTGCTACCGTTCTGCCTCCCCCACACTGCCGCGCTGTCTGCGCTGAGTCTAGCAGTTAAGGGTTTGTGTGTGCGTGTGTGTGTGTGTGTGTGTGTGTGTGTGTGAGGGCCAGGGTGGAGTCACGGCCCCCTGACCCCTTTGAAGCTTGATCGACCCCAGGGAGTGGGCTGTCTCACTGTCTCACTGTTCTTGTGTCGGGCCCCTTCCTTGTTCTGGTGCCCAAGCCACCCCCAGACTCCAGATCAGATCTGCCCTCCCGCCCTACTCCCCCACCCCATACTTCAATAAACGCATGCACCCAGCTTCTCATTCACATTTGGTACCATGGGGTCAGTGTGTCTGGGGACGAGCGTGAGGACAATTCTCTATTGGAAAATGATGAGTCTGGTGAGGGTGAGGGTGTGGTTCCACTGATTCTGGGAGGTCAAAGAAAGGGATTGTGGGACGTGACACAAAATCTCCCATCAACCTTTCCCATCTGCCCATTGTCTCTGCTCCATTCTGTTCTGGGTCTCTCGAGCCAGGCCAGAAGCATACTCAAGTCCTCTTGTCCATCTCGTTCCCCTCATCAGCAGGTCCCTGGGCCCCCCCACAAGCAGAACAACATGAGAACACTCAGAAATGTGTCACTTTTATTTCTTGCTCTTAAAACCAGAGACAAACAAACATAAGCATGTCCTAGGTGCTCAGACAGTTCTTGAGGCCATAGGCTCCCAACCTCTTCCCACTTCCTGTCTAACTGGGGACTCCACAGGAACTCAAGTCTTCCCCACAAACATTTTAAATCCAAAAAGACCAGCAGGGGTCGCCCTTTCCCTCAGCATCTAGATCAGCAGCTATGGGATGGGGCAGTCAGGTGAGACAGAGGGCAGCTTCCTGCCTTCTCCTTGCCACCTGTGCTGGTGGGGGTGGGGGTGGGGTGGGTGTCTGGCCTCTAACGCATGGAGCGTGTAAACTTTTACCTGGAAATGGCACTGCCAGATGCAACAAACAACACTGGAACTCGCTAACCTGCTGGCAGGACTAGCCCAAACTCAGCCTCCCATGGTTGGTGGCCAAATTCTTTCTCTGTCTCCCAAAATTCATTTTCTTTCTTGGGCATTGTGTGGGGCAGCCGCTGGAGAGACAATTGTAGGTTTGGGGCCACATATTCTCAACGGAAAAACCGCTCCAGCATATGCTGGCTTGGGGCTGGAGAGGACTCGGCGGAGGAAAAGTACGGGTGGGAGAGGGCCACCTTGGCTGAGATCCGCTGGTTGGGGTCGTACTGCAGGAGTTGCTACGAGTAAGAGGGAGGACATGGGTCTGACAGAGTGAGGACACACCTTCCCAGGTCCCAGCTGGAGGCCCCAAACCCACAGCTGCCCCACCTCCCATCCCATTAGCCAGTGCTGGACACTTTCAGGACCTGGAGACCAAGAGCCAGTTCTGGTCCAGCTTTCCTGAGTCAGGCCAGGTCTCCTTCAAATCAGCTCTCCGTCCCTCCCTTACTGAAGGCTCCAGGTCCCAGCCAGCTGCTAGCCGAGACAGACCTCTCGGTGCCCCTGTCAGGGGCTCTGGAAGTGAGGGGCAGACTGGAGTGGGGGGGCAAAGAGCAGGGAGGAGGGAGAAGGCATGCTCTCAGAGACCAGCTAGCCCCTTGAGTCAATTCAGACTCAAGGCGGCCCTGTAGGACCCAGTAGACCTGCCCCATGCGGTTTTCAAGGCTGTCATCTCATGGAAGCAGGCTGTCTTATTTTACTTCCCACTGAGCAGCTAGTGGGTTCAAATTGACAAATGTTTGATTATCAGCCGAGTGACTGACCACAGCACCCAGGGTTCCTTTCATTATCCACCCCTACCCCCTAAAACAAAACATTGCTATCAAGTAGATTCTGACTTAGAACAACTATCTAGGCCCGAGGAGAACAGCCCCAGAGGCGTTCCAATGCTGTCTTCTTTATGGACACAGATGGTCACATCTCTCCTATGGAGCAGCTGGGGGATTCGAACTACGGGTTGGTTAGCAGCTGAATACTTAACCACTGTGCCACCAGCACTTCTGACTCTCCAGTCAGGTTACGGGAGTCCCCAGGATGTATGCCCTAAAGTCCACACCGCCCTGGGTCAGCAGACGCACATAGACTTCTAAGAAGCTAGACACATGGTCTAATGATTAAAATCCTGGCTGCGCCTTCCAGACCCAACATCAGCGTCAGGAGAGAATGTGGCTTCAGGGCCTTTGTGGACGGTAACTAAGAGACTCTGCAGACGCCACCTGAGGTGTCCTGGGCACCTTGGCCTGGAGCTAGCCCAAAGGTCATGACAGGGCAGCAGGAGTGAGGACCATGACAAGAGACCACGAAGCAAGGACTGCCTTTCCTACAGAGGTTCCTGTGAAGTTGAGCCACCTGGAATACCCAGGAAGGAAACAGCTGCTGCCGGGGCATGCTGGCAGTGCCGAAACACAATGCAACTAGGAAAGACACGCCGCAAGTCCCCCAGTGCAAACACACAGCTAACTAGAAGAGAGGAGTTTTCTAAGGGAAAATGAACATTGGACTTATGGTGAGAGGCTTCCAGGATGAAGAATCAAAACAGGATCCAGCCAATTGTGTACAGGGGTCAGAAAAGTGATTAGCTTGGACTTCCTGGAGTCAGGGTTACTTAAGAATTTATCTGACTGGAAAGCAGCAACCAGAAGAGAAGGCCCTTCTTGTTTTCCCCAGCTGTCCACTTGTACCCACCATGAGCAGGTCCTTGCCCTCTGGCTCCAGATTAGGTACGATCTCCTCCAGTCCCTTCCTGGTCCACTTGGGGAAACTGCCCTTGTAATCAGGCAGCTGGGTGACTCCTGGCCATGTGGCTTCACTGGGTGTCCCCAGGGTCCGAAAAATCCGAAAGAGCTGGTCAATCTCCGAGTCGCCAGGAAACAGGGCCCTGCGAGTTATCTGGGATGGAGAAGAGGAGAAGGTGTGGAGTCCACAGCTTTGTCAAGACAAGTAGCCAGAGGTGGGGAGGAACTGTCAAGATATTTTTCTCAGGGCTGTAGTTTGCATTCTGGCTTCCCAACAATGCCCGCTTCCACCATCCTTTAGCTAGTGCAGACACCCCTTATAATGAGCTGCCTTCGCATCGATTTGGACTCATGGCCACCCCGTATGTTCAGAGTAGAACTGTGCTCCCTAAAGATTTCAGTAGTTGGCTTTTGGAAAATACCGTTGTTTTACACACATAATGAATGGGTTATATGATTTCTTGCAAATGATGCGATCCCCTTGTGCATTAGTCTCCTGTGTGCAGTGGATACTCTATACCTGTGCACATTAGTTGTGAAAAATATGGCAGATCACTAGGTCTTTCTTCCAAGGCATCTCTGGGTGGACCCAACCTTTTGGTTCGTTGCCAAACACATTAATCATATGCACCATCCAGCAGCTCCCAAACACCCCTTCACCCACATCTAGTGGAAGCATCAAGGAGTCCTGTTAGCACACTGCGTACGCACTCGGCTGCATATGAAACCCGTCAGCTGCTCTGAGGGGGAAAGACGTGGCGGTCTGCTACTGTCAAAACTGCAGCCTGGGAAATACCATGGGCAGTTCTGGTCTATTGTACTGGGTCACTCTGAGTCGAGATCACTTTGACAGCAATGGATTTGGGTTACTTTGGTTCAGTAAAAGTAGCCTGTGTCCCCCATCCCCATGCCAGCAGGACGCTGCCTGTGGCCTCCCTGTAGTCAGGCTTTGTCCCTCTCTCTACCATCTCAGCAAAGATGCAACCAATGCTCCAGATGTCCACAGCAGTCGAATAGAACTTGCTGCCCAAGAGGATCTCGGGGGCTCGATACCACAGTGTCACCACCTATAGGAACAAAAAAACAGAGCAAGGTGGGCTGAGTGTGTGGGTGACATTCCTTTGGTTACCCACCAATTCCATTCACCCCAGTGGTACCTCATGGGTGTAGGTACGCAAAGGCACCCCGAAAGCTCTAGCCAGCCCAAAGTCTGCCAGCTTGATAGCTCCCAGCTCATTAATGAGCAGATTCTGAGGCTTCAGGTCGCGGTGGATGACCCGATGCGAGTGGCAGAAATTCACCCCCTGCAGCAGCTGGAAGAGGTAGCTCTGGAATAGTGAATGTGACAAAGAGCTGGCTAGGCAGAAGGGGACTGGATGAGGGGGCCATTACCTCATCTTCCCCATCATTCCCTGGGTACCTTAACTAAGTGCAGGGGGAGCTCGGAGGCAGGGGTGGAGTCCATGTATTTCTTCAGGTCCTGGCTGAGGAACTCAAACACCAGGTAAAGTTTCTTTTCATTATGCACCACGTCCAGCAGCCTGGTGGCAAGATGCGGGTGAGTACGGGCTCACAGCTCCATGCTCCCTGTCCCAGCTCCCCGCCTCCTTCCCCAGCTCACCTGACGATGTTGGGGTGTGTTAGTTCTTTGAGCAGTGAGATTTCTCTGATGGCGGTGCTTGGGACACCTTCAGTCTCCCTGCAGGGAAGGAGGGTCCAATGAAGCCAGAGAATGAGCCACATCTGGAGGCAGGAGGGTACTTCTGGCGGGGGTAGGTAGGTGGGGTGTCACTTTGTTGCTTTTAAGTGCCATTGAGTTGGTTCCGGCCCATAGCAACCCTGGATAGGGTTTCTGAGCAGCAGCTGGTGAGCTTGAACTGCCAACCTTGCAGTTCAGAATGGTTTTGCAGTCTGGCGCATTAACCCACAGCGCCACACCAGGACTCCGGGGTGTCACTTACATGTTCCTTATTCCCTAAGGATGGCCCACCCCCAGTGATAGGGACCTGTGCTCCTTGGTGGTGGTTATGTGCCGTGCAGTCAGAACCGACTTACAGTGACCCTGTACAGGGTTTCCGAGGCTGTAAATCTTTACAGGAGCAGAAAGCCTCATCTTTCTCCTGTGGAACAGTTGGTAGTTTCGAACTGCTGACCTTGTGGTTCACAGCCCAATCCGTAACCACTACGCTACCAGAGCTCCTTAGTCCCTATTTATCACTCACAGAGCAGGGCCCAGGGCACCGCCTAGTCAGCATGAGGGAGGGGCAGTGAGATGAGGTGAGGGCAAGGAGTGGCTGCACCTTTGTGACTGGTCTGGTGTAACCAGGCAGAAAAGGAGCTGGATGAAGAAGTCTGAGATTCGGGAAGGGACGGGGTGCAGGGACTATCCCAGCACTCACAAATCCAGTCTTATCTTCTTGAGGGCCACCAGCTGCCCTGTCTCCTTGTTCTTAGCCTTATACACCACTCCATAGGTGCCCTCTCCGATCTTCTCCACCTTCTGGAATACATCCATCACCACAGAGCTGCCCGGGAAACAGATGGTGCCAGGGGCATTCACTCCCCCCTGCACGCCCAGCATCCTGGCTCCCCTCTTCCAGCACCCTATAATGCCCAAACCCTACCCAAGGCTTCCCAGCCCCCAGCCCACTGCCCCCATCCCATCCCTGGATCCTGGCTTTGAAGTCCCTGACCCAGCCAAGCAGGAACCCTAGATCCTCAGACCCCGTGCCCCGGGGGGGCTTGGAAGCCTGCTGCACCTGTATCTGCTACGGCATGCAGAAGAGCCCAAACTTGCAGTGCCCAAGGTCCCCTCCTCTGCACTGCCAGGCCCAGGATCTGGAGCTAGCTGGGAAGGCTGCCCAGACGCCTGTCCAGAGGCTGGGGACAGCTTGGGTCAGAGGTCAGGGATTGGAAAGCGTTTCTGTAACCAAAATCTTGTTCCAAGCTGCACTCAGGATGAAGGGGTAGGCCCAGCCTATCTGGTGACACTGGACCTCCTCTGAGGACAGAACTTTGGTGGTGGCCACCTCCCTGTGTCCTGGACCCCCCACCCACACCCAGCCCCTGCACCCCCAGCCCCCTCCCTATAGGCCCCCAGCCCAGAATTCACCAGAAACCCTGCTGGCTGCAAACCTCAGGACAGGAGGGAGTGCTGCTCTGCGGCGCCCCCTGTTGGCCGGCGGCAGCACCACGTGTACACAAAGACACGCCCACTGGGACCTTTATTCACTAGGACTTTCTGGAACTCTCCATGACTCTACACAAGGTACAGGACGCCTCTGGGGGCCTTCAGGCTCTCACTGCGGGCACAATCCCAAATGAGGGGGAGGGACCGTGTTAATAAGCCCGTCTTTGCTGTGACTTGGTGAGCTCCCACACCTCTGGGCAGTACAGTGGCATCTCCTGTGGGTGTGGGTGTGTGTGTGTGTGGTGACGATGGAGGCGGCTGTCATTGCCTATCAACTGCTCTCCCTCTCTCGCTGGTACAGCCTCTGCTCCCGGATGGCTTGTTCCAACAAGGGTAGATTCATTCCTTCCACGCAAGTCAGAACCCGGGCTTTCACCATGACACCTCCATCTGAAAGACACAAACGTCAGTGACACACGCTACGGATGCATTCTAGCTGTTGTCCCACAGTTGACGGGGTGGTGACCAGGACAGCTTGTGGGATTTGTCTGCTTGGACCTTAGAACAGTGGGTCTGCCACGTACTTACCAGGCATGTGTCTATAACTTAAGGGGTCACCTGGAGATCCCACTTCTCCAGGGAGGGAGGGCTAAGAAAAGGCACAGATTCCTAGGCAAGTCCTATCTCTGTCACCTTAATTCCTGTCATCTTCTCCTGAGAGCCCAGAGTTGAGGAGAGGGGTCTCAATCACTATTCTAGCTCTCCATTTATACTGAAGAAAAAATCCCTTTGGCATTCTGGGACATGTAGCATTGGGCTTGGAACAAAGAGTAACCTATAATTATTAAGTTCCTGGTGTGGTTGTTGTTGTTGTTATGTGTCGTGGAGTCGGTTCCAACTCATAGTGACCCTGTCCAGGGTTTCCGAGGGTGTAAATCTTTACGGGAGCAGAAAGCCTCATCTTTCTCCCAAGGAGCCGCTGGTAGTTTTGAACAGCTGACCATGAGATTAGCAGCCGGAGTCGTAACCACTACGCTACCAGAGCTCCTTTCCTGGCGTGGTACTATAGGATAATCACTGGACTGCAAGGTTGTTGTTGTTGTTGTTGTTATGTGCCGTGGAGTCAGTTTCGACTCATAGCGACCCTGTACAGGGTTTCCGAGGCTGTAAATCTTTACGGGAACAGAAAGCCTCATCTTTCTCCTATGGAACAGCTGGTAGTTTCGAACTGCTGACCTTGTGGTTCGCGTAGGCAGTTCAAACTCACCAGCCTTTCTCAGAAACCCAATACAGGGTTGTTAAGAGTCATCTGCTCACAAGAAGGAGCTGAGTTCCAGGAGTCTGGGTGGGATGAATGAATAACACCCAGAATGAGAGGCTGGTGGGGGGGCTTTCCCTAACATATTTTTTTTCTGTTCATTTTTTCATTCATGTTCTCTTTGCTCTCTGGGCACTTGAATGAACACACTCAACGTTCTAGAACACAATTCTGTCTTCTTTTCCATGCAGATTGGGTATAGAGGCTTTGGGATGAGATAAAGAGACTACCTGGACATTCTTGTGTTAAGAGTCATCATATCAGTTCTGACTCACAGGGACCCTACATAGCAGTTCCTAGGAGCAGCTGGTGAGTTTGAACTGCCGTCCTTGAGGTTCCAACCGACCTTGTGGTCCTTTGCTTATCCTACAATGCCACACCCATTTTAGTGATTTCAAACAGCCTAGGGCCGACTTCATTCAGATCCTCAGGCTGGCTGGCTAGGTTCCAGTCTTCAGTGCTCCCCTTGGAAAATAAAGCTGTTTGAACATAAGATCAGGAACACAGCCACAGAAAGCATTTGGGGAGGAGAAGAAATGAAGTTAGCTGGATTCTTGCTGAGCATGAATGAGTGCCTCTGGAAGGTGGGAAGCGGGAGTTGGATCTGTAAGAGGAGCTGGGGGCTTCGGCCTCCCAGGCTTAGATGCTGCTGTTAGCCTAGAGCTTGGCTGCTGAGACAGACGGCAGGACCTAGAGTTGGGGAGGGCACAGGACACTATCTGGATCTACTCATCAGGACAGACGGATGATTCTCATCGCTCAGACCTCTTCAAGAATCAGCTGGGTTATCTGTACTCATCAATCCAACAAATATTTGCTGCCCAATCTTCACTTAAGGAACTCTCGTAGTGTAGTGGTTATGAGTCGGGCTACTAATCTCACAGTCAGCCATTCGAAACGACCAGCAGTTCCGCAGAAGAAAGATGTGGCTTTCTGCTCCCGTAAAGATTTAAAGTCTCAGAAACCCTGTACAGGGTCGTTATCAGTCAGAACCGATTCCACAGCACATAACCACCACCACCACCACCCTTCACTTAGTACTGAGAGGTCTAAACCTTCCCAGGTCACATGTGTTGTTAGGGTTTCTGAGGAGTGGCTGGTGGATTTAAACTGTCAACCTCGTGGTTCAAATCAACATTGCAGCTGAGTGCTTATCCTAAAGCACCACCAGGATGTTACATGTAGCCCTAAATAATTTCCCCAGAGCAGCCACAGATGTTCAGGACACCATGGGAAAAACTAGGCCAAAATCTAACCTAAGTTGGAGCTGTTAAAGAACGTCAACGTCAGATCCTATGTCAAATGTCACCAAACTTCCTGCATGAAGATTTTCTTAGGTACCTCACAGAACTTTACTTACACAGTACACATGAATTCCTTGTTTCTTTCCTCCTCTCAGCCTGGGGAAACCCTCCCCTCTAGATTTCTATTGCAGAACACTTTGCATACCCCTCTAATTGGGAAAAGTTATTAAAGATGGAAATGAGCTTCAGAAATATGAACCTAGAGCAGAGGAGAGCATGAGGTTGGAGCATGAGGAGGAAATAAGGAAGGGATGAGGAGGGCAGACACCCTTTGAGGAAGGAGGCTGTGCAGAAGGATGGCCAAATTTAGGGAGGGCGACAACAACAACAATATAGCGAGCGTAGTGGTTACGAATCGGGCTGTTAATCTCAAGGTTGGCAGTTTGAAACTATTAGCTGTTCTGCGGGAGAAAGAGGAGGCTTTCTGCTCCCATAAAGATTTACAGCCTCAGAAACCCTGTACAGGGTCGCTATGAGTTGGAACTGAATCCACAGCACATAACCACCACCACTATAGAGAGGAGGGAATGGAGTCCTGGTGTGGCGCTGTGAGTTAATGCGCCAGACTGCAAAGCTGTTTGAACTTCAAGGTCGGTGGTTCAAGCTCACCAGTCGCTCCTCAGAAACTATACAGGGTCACTTTGGGTCGGAACCGACTCAACAGCACTTAACAACAAAACAACATAGAGAGGAGGGGAGTCCTGGTGTGGCCCTGTGGGCTAATGCATCAGACTGCAAAGCCATTTGAACTGCAAGGTCAGCAGTTCAAGCTCACCAGCTGCTTCTTGGACACACTCTACAGGGTCGCGATGGATCAGAATCGACTCGACGGCACTTAACAACAACAACATAGAGTGGAAGATGACTTTGTGAGTGTTGCTTTGTTTTGTTGTTTTTAAAGAATTTCTTCCTGTGAATTGGGTGAAGGTTTACAGAACAAGTCCGTTTTCCATTTACAATTTATACACATTTGTCTCGTGTCATTGGTTACAGTTCCCACAATGGAACATCACTCATCTCACTGTCTCACTTCCTCCCTCCTTCTTTCCTAATCCTTCTGGACTCTGTCCTGAGAGAAATGCTGCCCTTGATTAGTCCAAGGAGTTCGTACCTCTTTATTATTGTTGTTCCCTTTATAAATATGACTGTTTGTCGAAAAACTGAGCCACGGGAGTGAGTTCAGTTCCAGACCTAAAGGGTGGCTTAAGGGCCATCGTCTCGGGGATTCCACCAGTTTTTATCTGGCCAGTAAGCACAATTTTTTTAATGCTTTTGAGTTTTGTTTCACATTTTTCTCCTACAATATTCAAGACCTTCTAATGTGATCCCTCACAGACAAGTCGTTAGTAGGAGCTGGGCACCATCTAGTGCTTCTGTTCTCAGGGCTGTGGAGACCAATATTCACATGGTGCATCCATCCACTGGACTAGCTGTTTCTATGTGTCCTCAGTTCTCTTCACTCTTCAGTCCTCTGGACAGGGCGAGACCAATAGTTGCACCTTAGATAGCTACTGAGGAGATGTTAAGACCCCAGTCCATATTCATCAAAGTAGAATGGCATAGCAATTGGCCTGGGTGACCCCTGAGCTCCCAGGCCCCATGACTCATTCCTTCATGGTTATATGATTATATCTAAGGGGTTTTCAGGAGTCCTGGTGTGGCGCTGTGGGCTAATGCGGCAGACTGCAAAGTCGTCTGAACCACGAGGTTGGTGGTTCAAGTTTACCAGCCGCTTCTTGGAAACCCTATACAGGGCCCCTATGGGTAGGAACGGACTTGACGGCACTTAACAACAAGAGGTTTTCATAATTCTGCCCTCGGTGTGCTCTATCACATTCATGGATATATTTGCATCCTAGGTAAATACACATGTAGAAACATCCTCTGGCTAACCTTTCCTGGACTTTTACAAAAGTGATCTCATATAATATTTATCCTTTTGTGAGTGACTTATTTCCGTAAGCATAATGTCCTCCAGGTTCATGCACGTTACAAGGTATTTTGTAGCTTCATCATCATTATTTAAAGCTTCACAGTATCCCATTATGCATACGGACCATAGTTTGTTCATCCCTTCTTCCATGTTGGGCATTTAGGTTGTTTCTGGGTTTCTTGCCATTATGACTCGTGCTGGGATGAGCATGGGTGTGTGCAGATCTATTCATGTCACATCTCTTAGTTCTCTAAGATTTGTACCTAGTAGTGGGATTAATGGATCATATGGTATTTCTATTTCCAACTTGTTAAGGAAGCACCATGCCACTTTCTGCTGTTTTACACTCCCACCAGCACTGCGGGAGGGTTTCAGGAACGCCACACCTTTGCCGCTATGTGTTTTTTTCTTTTTAAATTTGCTATTATTAATGTTAAGGAGCTCTGGTAGCATAGTGGTTACGAATCGGGCTGCAAACCTCAGGGTCAGCAGATCGAAACTACCAGCTGTTTTGCGGGAAAAAGATGAGGCGTTCTGCTCCCGTAAAGATTTACAGCCTCGGAAACCCTGTATAGGGTCACTATGGGTCGGAATCGACTCAACAGGACATAACAACAACAATATTATTAATGTTGGGGTGAGATGATTGATCATTATTGTCTTGATTTGTATCTCTGTAATGGCTAATGATCACAAGCATTTCTTCATGTGTTTGTTGGCCTCCTGATGATTGTCTTTGGCGAAGTGTCTGTTCATGTCCTCTGGCAATTTTTAACTGGATCACTTATCCTTTTGTTGTTGAAGCACTAAATAATTTTCTAAATTTTCTATACATTTTAAAAATTAGTCTTTTGTCCAATACGTCGTTGTCAAAATTTACCCCCAGTTTGTGGGT